CAATCAAACAGTTGCTGATAGCCATGGACTTCCATAATATATTTTTTCCATATACTATGGAAGTCAGTGGCTACCAGCAACTGTTCAATTACCCATGGACTTCCATAATATATTTTGTTTCCATACTATGGAAGTCAGTGGCTACCAGCAACTGTTCAATTACCAACATTCTTCAAATGATCTTTTGCGCTCAACAGAAGAAAGAAAATCATACAGTTGGATGAGTAAATGATGACAGAATTTTCATTTTTGGGTGAATTTTGACTTTAAGTTGATATCACTGGTGTACAAGCCCTAAGCCTAACCTAAACATAAACCTTATATTCGGCCCTAAAATCTGGTTGATTAAAAAAATTTTGTTCGAGAACTAGTAAAGATGTTGAGCCAGAAAACTGCTGGGTAAAAACACATATAGTGCACAGTATAAATGAGTACACACCCTCTGAAACTGAAATTTAGCAGTTACTCTTTACTTAGAAGACATGTTAGGGTTCTTTAGAGATATGATATTCCAGCACGTCTGCTTGATGAATGAAAGAAGAATGTTAAAATTATTCAGGAAAATACTTTTTTTTTTTGATAAAATGTTGTCTTGCTAAAATGAGTACACCCTCCTGAAAGTTACTAAATAAAACAAAATAAAAATGTATGGTGTAAGGATAAGGCAGGTTTTGATCAACAGGTTTTTCTTGGCAATTAAAAGTGTTATATAGCCCACTGAATAATGCTCAGACGTAATGCTGACAACAACGAAATCACTTGGGAGAGAACTGTCTGGAGATTTATTTCTTATCATAAAAGAGGACACTAGAACAAGAGGAATACCAAGTTATTGTTTTATGTGTGAAAATATAGCCAAAGTAATACAGAAATTCAAAAACGATGGACTTATGAAAAGGCCCCTGAAATAATTAGGTCTTCACTTTAAGTTTTCATTTAGTGACGAGTCTCAGAGCCGGCAAAAGCTATGATAAGAGTGACACTTTATCTCTCAGAGTCAGACGCAGCCTGCAGAAGTGACATGCATGGTTGTTTATCCACACCAGAACTAACTACTGTAGCCAGAGCATGATAAACTCATCTAACCTTTTCTAAGGCCCATATTTACAAAATATAGACTTCTGGGAATCCATACTCTGGTCTCATGAGACCAAATCAATCATTTCAGATCTAACAGCGTCCAAAATATTCTGGTGTTGCTATAGAGGAGGAGTACAGAGAGATGTGTCTGGTTTCCACAGAGATGTTCAGTGGTAGTAAAGCACTTATATAGGGATGCATGGGTGCTGAAGGTATCATCAATTCACACACCACTGTACAAAATACCAATACAATAACCTAAAAACAAAAGATTCTACTCTCTCCTGATGCCCTGCATTGTTGGGCATTTTTTGAACATGACAATGAAGATACTCATGCTCCCAAGGTGAAAATCCTTCAGTGGACATGTACACTCTTAAAAATAAAGGTGCTTCACGATGCCATAGAAGAACCTTTTTGTCTAAATGGTTCCATAAAGAACCTTTAACATCTGAAGAACCTTTCTGTTTCACAAAAGGTTCTTTGTGGCGAAAGAAGGTTCTTCAGATTACAAAAACGCAAGAAAGAGATGGTTCTTTAAAGAACCTTTGACTGAATGGTTCTTTGTGGAACCAAAAATGGTTCTTCTATGGCATCGCTTGAAGAATTTTGCCACGATTTGCTTGACGTAGGGTGTCGTGGGGATTCGCAAACGACAATGGGCGTCGGGACGCAAGATTCCATCGTTTCAGCTCGTGTAGTGTGTCATAGTAGACGACAACCAAATCTGCGTCTGCGATGCTTCACGACATCACGACAGAAAGACTAGCATGTTTAATTTATTTTCCGTCTTCCACGACGAGTTCTGTCACATTGGTGACGTTGACCAATAGCAGCTCTTTCAGACACAGGTTTCAAACATGGCGAAACGAAGGAGAGATGATGGTGCTGCTAGGTGGAGTTATGAGATGGAGGAAAGGTTCGTGGAGCTGTGGCAACAGTACACCTGCTTGTATGATCTGTCATCCAGGGACTACCACGACAGAACAAAGAAAGAAAAATGCTGGCGAACGATAGCGGAAGCGCTTCAGCAATGTTTACACTCTTGTTTTCCGGAAGTCAGTCGCTAGTTCCGCCTTCTCGATGACATCACGTGAGTCGTTAAAGATGGCACGCGATGAATGGTCGGGAAGCAACGTGTAGTCTGACATGTCTCTTGTCCACGACACGACAAGATTTTAGGAGTCAAAATCATGTAATCTGACACAGTGACTATCGTGACCGACAAAAATATTGTGTAGTCTGAACCCGGCATAATAAGTCTCACGTACCTGTTGATACATTGTATATGGTGAAAACCCCCCCTCCTCCGATGCCCATACTTTGAGCATTAACCAGACTCACACACAGCAGAGCAGCGATAGCAGCATCAACTACTGAACCATCACGCTTCAGCATGTCCCTGCAAACACAAAGAGCAACAACGTAATCTTACCACTGCAAAACTCTCATCGCTCATGCAAGTAATCTCTCTCAGAAACATAAATGTGGCTCTTTGGAATCATACCTCCCGATCTCAGAGCAAGTCCCGGCATCCGCTGCCACTGCTGCTTTATTATAGCACTTATCAGAGGGTTGCAGAGAGACTGATTGTATCGGACTGATTTTCACTATCTTAGTGATTGTGATTATCACTATCAGAATCAGTACAATCACAATTATTGCAAAGCATCTGAAAGCAGACCACCAGAGTTTATGATAATTATTTATCATACAAACAAAATTCAGATCTGTGGTTTCATTCCAAATACTATCAATACTGTACAGCATATATAGTACTATATATTATTTGTGTGCATGTGTGTGTACATGTACATGTTTCATCACCTTTTACATGTGAGACAACCCATCATAGAACAGCCCCTGTCCACCAGTTTGAAGAAACTCTTAAAAAAAAAATTATAATAATAAAATAAAAACACTGTGGTATAAGTCTGGTAGGCAGCGTAAAGTATAATTTATTTGAGGGAAAGTTATGATGAGAAGTTTCACTATTGGGACATCTATCCCTTTAATTTGTGCAGGAGTACAGCAGTTGCTATATGCGTTTCTATTAAGGATTATTATTTATTTTATTTATTTATTTTTCATTCTGTTCTGGTTTCGGAGTCTCCTTTCCAAAATGTTATAAGAACAATTAAAAAAGTCATGCAATTAATAAATAAAATATGAAATATATTACCGTAGTCAGAGGAGAAGTTGAAAAAAGACTTGCAGTGGTGGTGCAGTATATTTGTCAGATAACAAACGGGTAAATATTACACAAGGCAGTACAGCTTCCTGCTTCCTGTTCGTGCTTGCTATGGTGCTAAGCGGGTTGCCTTTGCAATTATGTTGAGCTTTTTTGAAATAGTAGGCCTACTCTTTTGTGCATACAATTCTCACTGTTATATAAACTGCTAGATTTAATTCTGATATTATCAAATATTAGCCTATTGGTGGTGTTCTAAAACTAAATATATTAAGCATACAAATGCAGTCATTTCATATATTTTTCATTTGTAAACTGAAGATCAATATGAGGGAGGCAAAGGTGTATACGAACTTTATCCCAGCAGTCAGCAGTATCCCCTTTAATCCCAACATATAATTCAGTTTTTATGTGCAAACTAGGGTTCACGTGCAGTGTGTGACATGACATTTGTTTAAAACCACACATGCTTTGTATGTGCAGCTCGCACATGTGCATCGAATGTTTTTTTGCCCTGAATAGTTTGTCCACAAGGGGGCAACTTTGACATGGGTATTTGTTTCACAGTCAAAAAAAGAGACAGGACATTAACAAGAATGCACATCACACCTCTGTGTATCAGTTTGCACTGGCTACCTGTAGCTGCTCGCATAAAATTCAAGGCATTGATGTTTGCCTACAAAACCACCACTGGCTCTGCACTACTTTATCTAAATTCATTACTTCAGACTTGTGTGCCACTAAAAGCTTGCGTTCTGCAAATGAACGTCTGGCACACTTTATTGTGCCATCCCAAAGAGCATGGTGCAGGACTTTTCTCTCTTTTTTAACTGATGGGGGCAACAGTATAGTATATGTGCTAGTGAACATAGTGCATAGTCAGTACATGAATTTCATTTGTATTTATGAGTACAGTCAGCAGTTCAGATCAGGCAGGTTGCTTGTGAATCTTTAGCAATGGGAAAAATAGTTTTACCCGGGTGATAACTTACAGTGACATGGCTACACGCAGTGTGCACAAGACAAGATAGTGATCTGTGTCATCAAAAAGAGTCAAGAGGCATTTATTTGTCATTTGCACAGTTATAATGCTTGTGACAAGGCTCAGACTTGCAGTAGCATTAACAGGACTACACACAATTTTTTCAAGTTTTTTATTAAAAGTCAAATCGACAACAGGCAAACTGTACGGGCTAATATTAAATGAAACATACAAACAGACTCCAGACTCATTGTCCTTTCTTTTATCCTCCACATGCCCTTCGCTCTGTAGGCACTCATATTGTGGATTCCATGTGGTTGGGTATACAGTGATTCTCTTGGAGTGGCTTTTTGTTTTGCTTTACCCTTTTGATTATCATACTTTTTTCTTTCGGCATTACAAGCCAATGGCCAGGCTTCCCACAACAGTGCCAAGCTTCAGGCAGCATTTAACATGACTTCATGTTAACATTAATTCAGTCTCCTAATACATGCAGTAGGATTGTACAGAAATATGTGTCCATCAATTGAGAATAAGGGGTTTGAGCCTTCAGAACTGGTTGTGAGGGAGGTGGCAAGGCAGTACATATAGCTTTCAGCGTGGCCAGATCCACTGGTTTGATTAGAAAATCTTGTTCAGTGTGGATAAGTGGCATTACTAACCATCGGGTGAGCAGGCGATTGCAGTTCCAGCTGCAGGGACGTCACTCAGTTCAGCCACTTCAGTTTTATTTCTGATTTTCCCCAGTGTTTTGCCATAACAGCCCACATGCCAAAGGATTCATGCTTATATTTGACACATTTAGTGTGATCTAGTTCATCACATATGAAAGGTTACAAAGTTTTAAAATTGTATTTGTCATAAATAAATAAACAAACAGCTCTATTTCTTCATATGACACTTTATTAACATTGTCTCTCCTTTCAAACAGAAAGTGTGAGTCTGTGATACAATTGTGAATCTTCACAGTTTCTCTTTTAGTTGCACTTATGGAAGTTGTCCTCCATATCTTGATGAAGGGGAAGCTAATGCACTGAACATCACTTTTTTCAGTTTTCAGTCAAACACAGCCCAGAAATTTCAACAACTTCAAACTCACAGCCTAGTGCTCTATATTTAATTGATGACTATTCATATCTAGGTGTACTGTACTAATAGCATTTTATTAATTCATTTTCTTGCAGTTGTGACCTTGTAACTCATAATTTGACATTTTTTTTCTGTACATCTCATAACTGCAGCTGTTTATTGCAATCTGACTTCATCTCACAACGCAACTTCATACATTACAATGTGACTACAGCTTACATTTGTAACTTTATATCTTGCAATTGTGACTATAAATTGATGTCATCATTGTGAGAGAGAAAGTTGCCAATGCAAGATATACAATTGCAAATACCTTTTACTTGTTTTGCTCTTATGTGGAAAGTGGCTTCTGTAAGTGCTTCTGTGGTTCTTCACAAGGGGTTGTTAAATCTGACACAAAGACACTGAAGATTCAGGATAAACCCCAAATCCAGCATAGAGGGGTTCAGTGAATGTGGTGTTGAATGTGTGTAAGTGTGTGAGTGTGTGTGTGTCAGAGACGCTGTAGAAAGACAGAGTGCCGGCAGAGCAGTCCAGATACACTCCTAGTCCATTAGAGCGGGATGAAGGGCCAAATACATCAGTGCTGTTTTTATTGTGCCAGACAGTATACGTCGTATCAGAACAATACATACTCCAGGACTTTTCATTGAATCCAAACGAACAGTCAATCCCACCTTTCCTGCTAATTCCTTTATATGTAATCCCTACATTGCCTGAGCCTTCCCATTTAACCTCCCAGTAACAGCGTCCAGTCAGACTCTCTCGACACAGGATCTGCTCCCGATCATAAAATCTGTCTGGATGATCAGGATACGGCTGATGATCTTTCACATATGTTGTTTTTTTGTTCCCTTCAGACAGAATGAGTTGAGTGTGTGCTGTGTTTGGATCCAGTTTAAGATCACAGGCATCTGGACACAATAAGTGAGATCACATCATATGATATAATTAAATATGCACATGAGTGTGTGTGTGTGAGGACTTACATTTTCTCAGTCCTGGTTTGAATCTGAAATGTCCTTCATGGTCAAAACTGAACAGAGACAAAAACATACACACAAACAAAAATGTTATAGTATGAGGGAAGACTGTTAAATTAGCACATTTTGTCTTTTGTGGTTATTTTGGTTTTCCTCATCAGTCTCTCACTATTCTCACCTTGGTCTTGGTTATCTAGTGATCTTGTAAATGTAAGCCCCAGTGTTTGCTGTGTTGGTTTGTCAGTATATGCTTGTTTTCTTGAATCTCACTACACAAAGTTTATTGCCATATGTTGTGTTCTTTTCATAGCAAAACTCAAACTAAACAACACAATGCTAATGAGGTGCACAAACTACAAGGCCTTGGTCAAGAGGCAGTCTCGACCAACAGCAAAAAAAAACCCTTTCTCACATAGATTCACATGAGAAATACCAGAGATTTTTCCAGGAAAGGAGATCCAGCTCTCTAAGGTGTAAGGGGTTTGAACTCAGAGCTGAAGACAAATAACCACAGCCTTCCTCTGTCACCATACAGCCTGATAACCTAAAAAAAAACCACTCTCAGATCATCTAGAGACACACATCAACATTATGACCGACTGACTATATGATCTCTTATATGTTCTTAAATACCTCAGTATCTGCAGCTGACAGTTTGGACTCTTCAGTCCATCAGAGAGCAGCTTCACTCCTGAATCCTGCAGGTCATTGTTACTCAGATCCAGCTCTCTCAGGACAGAGTTTGAGGATTGTAGAGCTGATGACAAACTCTTACAACAGTGAGCAGTGATATTACAGCCAGCAAGCCTAAAAGAGATTAAAACAAATTAAAAATAAATTATTAACCTCATTGAACAACTGGTATTTCAATAATATTAGCTTCATTCTCTAAAAGGCATTAAACTAAATGTGATTAAACACTCACAGAGCTTTTCTGCAGTTGCTAACAGCTGGTATCAGTCTTCTTCTGCCCTCATCTGATGTGTTGTATTTCTTGAGGTCCAGCTCATCCAGC